CAGCAATTCAGTTTTAAATTAGAGTTCACAGTTTTAAAGGCTCTTTAAAATAACCCAGAATGAAAAGTAACTTGCAAATTTTATGCTATTAACTACAGCTTTCTTTTTCTATTTGCTATATTAAAGAATTATGTCACCAGAGAAGCAATTTATGGCAGCTACTCATTGTATTTACAAAAGAAAATTCCAAAGAGAGATAACACTCATCTTTATTTACTTTTCTTTATGAACCATGAATATACAATATAAGCCTGAACAACATGTTAAGTTAGAGTTGCTCAAAAGTGGTAGGTGTAATAAGTCATTTTAAATACTAGAAATTATTAGGGCTGCAATCTTGTCTAAAGTCTATTTTGTGGCACTGAAACTCCTCATTTGGAATGATTCAGTTATAATTTTTATTTAAATATAGTATTTTACTCTGATGACATTGTAAAAAAATTAGAATCTCTTGAAAGGCTTTCAAATCCTTAACTATTTTTCAGTATTAAAAACAACAACAACAACAAAACTGAAGGCTCTCCCTTCCCAGGAAATGAATTTCTGGAGCTCTAGATTAAGTGAATATTCTAAGTAAAAACAAACGGAAAATATAGTCTATGCAAATATCTCTGCCTTTATGATTATTTCTCATATGTGGATAGGAATGTTCCCAATGATTGGAGACTAATGACAGTATAACTCACAGTTGCAATGCCATGATTTGCGAAGTTTAATTAGGCAATGCACAGTTCTAATATGTAGGACTCTTTTCTGAACATGTTCTACATATGAAATACATTACAAATTAAGCTGCTGTCAGTCCTCTTTCCAGATTGGTTGGGACCATTAATGTAGTCCATCAGCTCACCAGCAGACCATTACTTTCTCTGCAGTGTTCCCTGTAGACTTGCATTGCTCACTTTGGACATATTGCTTTAATAAGATAATTATTTCAGAAAGCTTGAGTTATCTGAAGCCTGGGAAGGAGTGCTTCAGAACCTGGAGAAGTGCTTTCTGTAGTAAAAGATTTTGGAGATCATAGAGTAAAATGCATATTTAGCCTCATTTACATAAAAACATCCAGCACAGCTTTTCACAAATTAACACAAATTTGATAGAATAGTGAAAGATATATGACTAACTTCTTCCATTTCTAAGACTCCAGATGTGTTTTTTATGTTGGTTAATTTACTTTATGATTATTTGTTAGAACTTAAGACATCTGTTGCCATTGTGTAGTATAAAATATCTTAATGGTATTACTAAATGCCATGTGTCTATCAGTGCCTAATCATGTATCTAATGCTAAAGAAATGCCCTGGGTAGACTTTTCTACAAAGATGTGGAACACCAGGCTGCTGATCATGAAATTCTGCAAAAAACAGAATTTATCCAAAGCAACTTCTTAGTATTTGAATTTAGGTAGAAAACAAAGTACTAAAATCAGGCAGAAATAATTCAGATTTTCATGCTTTTATTTGATTCTTTATTGCAGCAGCTGTAATTTTACATTTTTTTTCTGTAATTGCACACTATGCTTAATAAACTTAATATCACTATTACTATTGATTACACCATATCTCTCCATTTTATCTGTAGTTCAAGAAAGTAAGTTGTAGTATGCCCAGTGTCTTATAACAACTCAAGGTGGAACTAATGCAAATCAGACTCTGATTAGGAAGATAATCATATAGTTATCCCTACATAAACTGTATATATATTTCCTTATTATTTCATTATTATCTAATTTTTATGGAATGCATGTCTGTTGAGGGGATTTAGAGTATTAACTGCTAATTCAGGCTCAATTATCTTTAACTATTGATAAGAAAGGCTATAAAAAAATGAGGTGATGACAGGATGAACAACCAAAGACCTGGTAAATTTCAGAAATCAGAAGATTAAAGCTCAAATGAAATATCACTTGACAATTTTATTTTACACATGTAGAATTCACTATCGTGACCACAGTCCCCTGTGCTTCTTTAGGTCATAAATACTATCATTAGACACATGTATATTAAGAGGAAGAACACAGTGTTCTCTCTAGGCTATGATATTCAACTAGATTTAGAGAAGAGATAACCCCTTACTGGTCAAAATGCTATGGGAAAGAGTGAAAGTTGAGATTATGTTCCTAAATTCACTTTGTTTTGAATTATATACAGACTAGAGGCCCAGTGCACAAAATCATGCACGGGTAGGGTCCCTAGGCCTAGCCTGCGTTCAGGGCCATCTTCCGCCCACTCGCCAGTCTCCAGTCCCTCCCGGCCACCACCCACCCGGTTCCCCTGGTTCCCCGTTTGCCATGCTGCAATTGGAGCCTACAGGCCGGGGGGAGGGACTGAGAGGTGGTCAATGCACCTCATAATGACTGGTCAAGCGGTCGTTCTGGTCGTTACGCCGTTATGGTCACTGGGCTTTTATTATATAGGGTAACTTGACACCATTTTAGATAAAATAGAATATCCTTTAATCAAGAAAAAGGATGTGGCTCCTTTACTTGGCAGTGTCAATCTTTCTAAATATTTTATTAGGAAAGCTTATTTTTTTCTCTCTTGCTTTTACTTCTCCTTGACCCACTGGTTTATCCTTCCTGAACTTTTAAAATTCTCACTTTATTGAAAAAGTTTCCATAGACTATTGACCTGAATCATTGCAAAATCATATTTCTCATTTGTCTACTTTTCTTCCCTCTTAAATTAAAGCTGGTTTTTAAATTTGCTTTGTCCCATGGCATGTGGCAGAGCTAACACTGTCCAAGTTTCAGATCCTAGGAAGTGAGAGATGTTACATATTCCATTGCTGCATCTTTGGAACTCAGAGACTGTCATGCTATGAAAAAGCATGGACTTCTGGAGCATAGGAGGCTACATGGATGAAAACTGGGACAACCCAGCTGACAGCCAACACCAAATGCTACCGCTAAGGCCATGTTGAACTCTCCGACCCTTTCAGATAACTGCAGCTGCATGACTGGTCCTAGGTGACATTAGCAGAAGAAATGCCCACACCACCAATCCACAGCATTAAGAATAATAATGAGTTGTTTTAAATGACTAAGGATTGAGTGACTGTTATACAATAATAGAAAAGTGACGCACTAACAATAAAGATTCTTCACCACCCTTCTTTGACTCCTCCTGGTTATTTTTATTAGCATATTTATTTACTTTTTAGAACCAGCAAATAATTCTTTTTCCTTAAAATTACTCTTGACTTTGCTGATACAATTTTAAGAATTATTTTCCTATTAATCATAAGTCTTCCTAAGTTGTAAACCTACAACTTCCTTTATGTACACATTTGTTGTAGTATTATAGAACCATACATATCATTTCCTGACCTACGCAATGAAGTTAATAGCTCCCTTTTCTCTACTTTGTATAAGTTTCCATAACTGCATTGTTCATTCTCTACTGCAACATTAGGAGTTTGCTTGTCCATCTCTCTTTGTTGACTATGTGCTTCTTGTCAAAGATTGTGTCTTGTCAACCTAGGTATCCTTTGTACCCATACTCTGCCTGGTACAAATTCAGGATTAAGTAAATGTTTAGTGAATTAATGAATGGATAAATGAAGAAATGATGAAATAGATCCTTTTTAAAAAATATCTTTTTAATTTGTTTCTTCCTTTTCATTTCTACTCCAAACACCTCTAGAGACATATACCAAGATATGTGTCATCTTTTATTAAGTGTTTTCATTTGTGTTTCTTTTTTTTCCCCCAAATAGATTTTAATCTCTTGGGATGTGGGAGCATAAATTATACTATGGCACATTTCCTGGAGACAAATGATTTCGACCATTGCTACCTGCTACCATGTGTTAGATTATTTTATTCTTAGTTTTTCTATGTAACACTCATAGATCTATGTGAAACCTTACTCCTCGTAGTTAGATATTGTTGGTTTTAAAAACTTTCTGATATCTGACATTATGGAAACATCACAGCTTGTTATAGAAAAAGGCTGGAAATCCAGGAATAAGTGCTAACATTATTGTTGGCTAAGATAAACCTTGATTGCAACAAGTCCCTCGTCCCCATCCATCAGTGCAAGTGAAGCTTTAACTTTTAAGTAAGAAATTTGGTAACTGTCAACATTTTACATGTTTGTTTCTGTTATTCAGTTAATTGAGTTGTTGAGATCATGGCAGTTATTTCTGGTCCAAGGATACCTTATTCTAGCCAGGAAAATGTGCTTCTTTTGCAAAGGGATTCAATACTTGTATTAGAAAAAAAATTCAGAGCATGTACTCATGGTCATGGGTCAACAGCATCAGTGTCATACAGGAACGGTGACAAACCTTATTTTTGCATAGATTTTTTTTTAAGTTTTCAGACTAAGATGTGTGTGTGTGTTTTTCTTCAAATTAATTGTGTGTACTACTGTATTTCCACTGTGTGGCATGGATGTCTATACATATATAAAAAAGATAGATATATGTTACCATATATATATATATAGTAACATATATCTATTTTTTTTTATTTTATAGCCATTTATTGTGCTCCAGTGAAATAGAAAAAGAAAGTGCTCGCATTACAAACACCGCTGTCACATCCACATACGCCAATCGCTGCAAACCAAACCGCGTGTGTCCGCTGGGTCTCTGGGCATGCAGTTGGCTCCCATTGTGGGAATGGGGTGGAGGCAGGCTGAGCCTGGGCTCTGGGGGCGTTGCTTGGGGGGGGGGGCTTCTTGTCCTGGGGGGAACCCACCTGTGAGGGAGTCGGGGGCAGCTGGGGTAGCTTTGCTCAGTGCGTCCTTTGGATGCTGTTGGGAACACCTGGCTCGATGTTGGACCCTGCAGTGCTCCGGGGAGGAGAGCCCCTTCCCCCCCCACAGGCCCCCCAGTCTGCTCCTCCCCCCAATGCTAACCCTGTAGGCAGGTGCCAGGGGCTGGAGGGCACCATGCAAGGGGCAGGGGTTAGCAGGGCCGGGCTAGGCCCTGCCGAGCAGCAGCCAGCCTCCCGGGGGGGGGGGGGGGGGGGGGGAGGCGGGAGGCCCAGGGCCCTAGGCAGAATTGAAGTAGTTGTGTGGGTAGTGGTTGTGGGCAGGCTCGCCCAGTTCGGGGTAATCGGTCGTCAGGCAGTACTTGGGGTCGTAAACCTGGCGCGGCAGCCCATACACTGTCATGCCCCGCTGCGAGGCCCCCTTATTGCTGCCCATCTGCAGGCTGACGTTGAGACTGTCGCAGGGCTCCATGCCCAGCCCCGGCTCGAAGATCTGCCGCTTGGTCCCGGGAGCCGTCATGCCGGCCTGGCTGGCTCCCTTGTTGGTGCCCATCTGCAGGCTGATGGTGGCCTGGTCCAGGGGTTGGTCCGTGCCCAGCTTGGGGTCATAGAGGTGGCGCCGGGTACCATAGGCCGTCATGCCCTGCTGGCTGGCAAACTTGTTGGTGCCCATCTGCAGCCCAATGATGTTCCGCCCCTCTCGAAGCTTCCCCGGCTCAAACTTCCGCTCCTGCTTCTCGGCATACTTCACACCCACATTCACCTTGTTCCCTTTCGTCTTGGCCATGCTGGCCAGAGCCAGGAGGGTGGACTGCACCTGGGTGTAGTTGGTGTTCTCGAACAGGTCATTGGCCTCAAAGATGTCGTGGGGCCTCACCCCGTACTTGGTGATGGCTTTGATGAAGTTGCCTATGTTCTCCAGCTGGTGCCAATTTTGTGTCGATTCATTGACCTTCTTCACGGAGCCTGGCTGGAGCTTATTGATGAACTCGCAAAGAATGATGCCATTTTGAGGCCGTCCATGAAGTTGGGGCCTATGCGGTGTCCTGTCACCCCCTCAATCCACTCTCGAAGCTCCTGTTCCCGCTGGAGGTCGTACTTCTGGGCCAGCTTGTTCTTGACCTTGGCTGACAGACCGTAGGCGGGGCCTCGGTTGAAATGGGCAGAGGACATGCTGGCCGGTGGTGGTGGTGGTGGCGGCAGTGGCTCTGAGGACGCTTCAGCAGCTGAGGCTCTGTCATATATCTATTTTTTTATAATTTGGGGAGAGTGGGTTGCTTGTGAATATTTGGTGTATGAAACTAATGAAGTCCTACAAAACCTTCCATTTTAACTTAATCACTTAATATTATATAGTTTTCTACATGTGAAAGTGTACTTGTGAGATTAGTTCCATAATTAGCAGCCTCATTTATTGTACTTGCCACTGCTGTTTTATTGCTCTGGTAGAGACAAACAGTAATTAGAACAATTACTGCACTTATTACGTGCAGTCTCTCTAGATTTGCAGTAGGGTATTCTCCAAAATACAATGAGAAACCAAAAGTGCTTAATTCCTTGCATAATTGTCAGAAAATCTACTAAGAATTTTTTTTTTTTTTTGAGAAATAATTCTCTATGCAACTCTTTGGTGAACAAGTAGATCTACCAAAGTTTATAATTTACTTTAATGAATACAGACTTGAATCTTACTAACTTTAATATCTTTTGAAAGTTGTATCTAATAAATATGTTTTGATGTAAAAATAAATGATAGATAATCATCTGAGTTTTGTGTGTGTGTGTGTGTGTGTGTGTGTGTGTTTTGAAGAACAGGGCTAGTTGTTAAGAAAAGCTAGGTGATAACTCAAATGGACTTTTACTAAAAGAATAAAAAATTACTTCAGAGTTTTCCCAAGCAACTACTTCACCCAGTCGCCCTTTCACCCCTATAAACATTGACTGGTCTTTCGGGTAAGAAACATTTGGCTGTATTCAAAGAAGGCTTTAATGAGTTAAAAACAAGTCAGAAAACATTTGCAACTTGTAAAAATCTTCTCCTGATTCAAAGCAACCGCATCTTTATAGGCAAATTTCAAACTGGGTCACATTCAACTCGCGGCACAATTTATTTAGACAGATTCCCTGTGATGGAATTTAGTGTTCAAGCAGAATTAAAGTGTACTCACCAAGGAATCTGTCTGAACAATGACATTTAAATAAATAAATAAATAAATAGCCACGGTGTTTAACCAGCAGAGAATATACTAGATTAAACAAATAGCATGTCTTTAGGAATCTTCATACACAAACAAACAAAAAATGCTGATTCATGCAAATATAACATTTGTATTCATTGAATGCTCAAATAATTATTTGAAATTGCCCAGCATAATAAAAATTATAAAATTACAACATTTTTTACATTTTCCAAGACAATTAACTTTGTGGGAAACGCTGTACTATACTGTCTTCTTAGAATTAATAAGACATGTGTGTACCCTTTCTTGCAGTTAACGCTACCATAAATCAAAGAACAATGGGGTTGGTAGTCACTATTCCCGATTTGAATCATAGTTCACTGAGTATGGCTCCTCTCCCAATCAGTTTTTCAATCCCCTCAAATCCTTCCCTGTAGAGGTCAGACACGCTAAGTCTGAATAAAATACAGAGATGCCAGTAGGAGAATTCTACCGATTTCAAGGAATACAAATTTACACTGAAATCCATTGTTAGAATCTCCACATAATGAGATTCTATATTTAGAACTCCTGCCACTTTCAATATATGTGCATCTATAGCTTACGGCGCTTCAGAAATTATAGTAGTTAGGAAGTTTTAGGTGACCCCAAGGAAGAAAAAGTTAGCAGATTTTTTGAATTTGTAAGTCCTGTTCTAATGCTCCATTCTCTCCCTAGATATCAAGCACATATTTTTCTTATTATAGATATTTGGGGAGGGTAGGTCATCATATTCCTGTCAAGATCACCCCTTGTCATGAGTCAGAGTCATCCATCTCATCTCTAGTGACTTCCTTCAAGCACACTGTTACACTAGAAAAGATATTGACACAAATTTTTAACCCCAATGTTTCTTTCCCAGCAGAAAACACTTGAGAAACATTGAAAATGCTCATGTTCTGGTGATGTGGAATGAATTAAAAATTAAAGTCAGGAGTTCTTTTATGATGTGTGTTAACTTCAATCCGAAAGTGGCATTCAAAATATTCATATTTCACTGCCAACATTAATATTAAATGTTAAGACCGTGAAATTTTCAGTGAACTTAACCTGATCCTGTGGCTGTATAGACACAAGGCAGGTTAGAGAGCTATTAGTCATTAACAATTTACCATGATGATTAGATTCTTGTAACATAAATTTAGAGTAAAATCATCCTGCTTACTTCATACCTATTTTCCAGAAAAGGAAGTTAGAGCATATATACTGTAACCCAATATGTGAAACATTAGGGAGTTTTGAGAAATTCCTTTTTCCCCCAAGTGTATTCTCTTATTTTATATGTCTGAAAAGGGTTGCAAGACCAAGAGTTGTGATGAAAGCAGCCAGGGTTTCACAAGGAGAAAAAATGTAAGAGAGAGGAAAATAATATACAATGTTCTATATGAAGCGCTAACTTTCCTGAAAATAAATAATCTAAAACACAATTCCTCATATATTTTAAGTTGTCATGATATTTTCCTTATTATTAGAAATTAGAAATGCAGCTTTAATAACTGCAATCATTATGGAATAGAAACTGGAGTTTTTAAACACTATACTGCAAAATTTTACACTATTTTAGTATCATTTATTATTCTGGAATCAGAATAATTTATTTAAATTCTTTCGTAAAAATATTTTTCTTTATTTATGGTTATAACATTATAACATTTCTTTCAACTAGATCCAAATTAAATCAAAGCTTTCCAAAATTATGATTCATAGATAGTTATGTTTAATATTTTCAGAGAATAATTTCCCTCTAACACACTTTAAAAATGTTTTCTGATAGCCTTCCAAATACGATCTATCACATAAGTAACTCATGGGTTCCTCAATGTGGCATTCTCTGTGTCTATCACAGTACTTGTCACATTTGTGGCTCCCTTTCTAGCCGATGAATAAATAAATGATTAAATATCTTCAAAATCAACTACATCGCTCTTTAAAGATTCAAACTTGTATGTAAAGTCTCACTTCAAACACTTCATTCTTTTGAATCTAACAGGGAGAAACACCTTAGAAATTTTATTTCTTTTCTTTTATTTATATTTTCTTTTATTTCTTTTATTTTTTTTATTTTATTGCCATATGAATGCCTACTTCTTTCAACACTGTTTGTGAAAAGATTCTTCTTACCCCATTGGATCACCTAGGAACCTTTGTTGAAAATCGATTGAACACCAAAAATGTTGTTTGTTAAATCCCCGGTCAGAGTGCATATTAGAAACAACTGGTTGATGTTTCTCTCTCGCTCACTCTCCCCCTTTGTGTCTCTTTAAAATCAATAAAAACATATCCTTGGGTGAGAATTAAAGAAAAAATATAAATTGAACATATATGCAATATATATATATATATATATAAATTGAATATCGCTCTTTTCTGGGATTTCTATATTGTTCTTTTTATAAAACTACCTTTACATCAATACCATACTATATGATTAACGTAGCTTTACAGTAAATATTAAAATCAGGTAGTGAAAAACTTCAACTTATTCTGATGCCATTGTAAGAACCTGGTTATTATTTAACAGGAAAGGAATAAAAGGGAGACCACATAATACAGACAGGCCATTTTCACAGCTTTGCCAAAATGCTGCATTTAACACTCCAACTCTGTTCCCTGATGATCCATGGGGGAAGGGACTGGACAAAGGCACTTTGGACCCATGCCCAGTAAGGTCTGAGTGTGTTGGGAAGGTGCTTACCCTTCACTCACACCTGGGAGCTAGTCAGTGGCCAGAATAGGTGTGGCCACTGCAAGCTATGAAACCCAAAGATTTAAACTTTTAAACAAAGGAGCACACTTTCTCTCTCTCTCTCTCTCTCTCTCTCTCTCTCTCTCTCTCTCTCTCTCTCTGGTGGGCCAGGCTCCTGCGACTCCTGCTGCAGGAGATGTGCTTCCCTGCCCACGTGGCTCATGACCATGTGGGATTCCACACAATGGACCACCGGACTGAATCTGGACTGGATGCTAAACTGCACTGGGCTGCAACGTGGAATGGGAGCTCTGGACAATGGCCTTGCTACTGGCTCCACTGTAACCCTAGCAGCACCTCTTTCAGAACTCCTTTAAGGCACATGGATTTTACAACCGGAGAAATGTAATCCCATGCAAATAAAGCCTCGTACTCACCCCATTCTCATGTGGGGGCTTCTGAAAAGTCTTGTTTTAGTGGCACCCCAAGAAACTCACTCCCATGAACGGCAGAGGAGATTGATTCTCCAGCAATAATTCCAAGAACGGATTAGTTATTTTAAGTCCTTTACATTCCCATATAGATTTTTAGATTTTAGTATCAGATTGTCAATTCACACATACAGGCGTGCGCGCGCGCACACACACACACACACACACACACATATACATATACACACACCACCTGCAGAAATATTAATTAGTATTAAATTTAGTATACAGAACAATTTTATTTATTTATTTATTTATTTATTTATTTTTTAAATATATTTTATTGATTTTTTTACAAAGAAGAAGGGAGAGGGATAGAGAGTTAGAAACATCAATGAGAGAGAAACATTGATCAGCTGCCTCCTGCACACCCCCTACTGGGGATGTGTCTGCAACCAAGGTACATGCCCTTGACTGGAATTGAACCTGGGACCCTTGAGTCCGCAGGCCGACGCTCTAGCCACTGAGCCAAACCGGTTAGGGCAATATACAGAACAATTTTAGAAATAATTAAAACATCTGAAAAATATTGGACTCTAATTCCATGAATACAGCATGAATCTCTATAGAAATCTTTCATTTCCTTCAGCAATATTTTTTGGTTCTCACTGAACAGTCCTTGAACATGTTCTGTCAAATTCATACCCAAGTTTTTCTTGTTTTATGCTTTAGTAAATGATATTGTTTCTTAATTTCAACTGTCAATTGCTCATTTCTAGTGTATGGAAATGTGATTACTTTTTGTATATTCACATTATCTATTGATTTGCCAAACTTTTACATTAGGTATAGTATTTTGCTATTTATGTATGTATGTATGTATGTATGTATGTATTT